TATGGTAATATTAGAAAAGCAGCTACTGTCAGAAAATCAATATCATCATTAAAAATGCAGACATTATGCCTAAGACCAGGCTGATGGAGAAGGGGGCTTATCCCCTCCCTGTATCCCCTTAATGGCAAACGAAGCCTAGACTGCACTATTAACTCTCCAGATTACCTCTGGATAGATGTCATTCCTACTTTTTCTGTATTTAGTGAATCCAAATGAAGATTCTTATCATCTTGATGAGAAGAATATATGAGAATTGCATGATGAATGGCTATGTCTTTCTAGTCAAGCTTAAATGGGGAACCTTTAGCTCTCTAGATATTTGATACTTATCATGGCACATGCTGGCCAGGGCTTCTAGGACTTGAAGTGAACTGCTGCTCAGTGGTTTAGGTAGAAGAGTTTGTTAGTTCTATATCCCTCTGTGCGTGTTGGACTCGATGACCCATAGGGTCCCTTCAAGTACTGCACTTCTAATATTATTATATTATTATGTCCAAAACATTTGGAGAGACAAAGAATTCTATATAACATTTCTTCTAAAGGGACACACACATCTTATGCTTATCCAAAAGGAAGGAAGGAAGGAAGGAAGGAAGGAAGGAAGGAAGGAAGGAAGGAAGGAAGGAAGGAAGGAAGGAAGGAAGGAAGGAAGGAAGGAAGGAAGGAAGGAAGGAAGGAAGGAAGGAAGGAAGGAAGGAAGGAAGGAAGGAAGGAAGGAAGGAAGGAAGGAAGGAAGGAAGGAAGGAAGGAAGGAAGGAAGGAAGGAAGGAAGAGAGAGGTACAGAGAAAGACAGAGATGGATTTAGTGAAAATAAAGGAAAAATAGGACTCATAATGGCTTACTTTTCTGAACAGTTTCCCGACAGTGTGTAATGGACAGGAGTGCAAGGGAAGACTGTGGATACCCAAGCATCACTGCTGAAGAATGCCAAGCAAAAGGATGTTGTTTCAATTCATATGTTGTTAGTACTCGGTGGTGCTTTCACCCTCTTTCTGACCCAGGTAACAATACATTACAGTATTTGTTTATGAGAAAAGATGTATTGTAAGTTGAACAGGGGCAAAGTGCAAAGAGAGCAATGTGAAGACATGATCACCTATTCCTGTCACATTTTCAGTCAACAGGGATGAAAATACAAGGTACTGCAAGGAGCTGTAGTACATCCTTTACCTGTTGTGATTAGAGATGGGGACAAACCACCAAAATGGCAGTCCATCTTGGTTTGTGGGTTGTCAATGTTGACGACCCACATCCTATGAATTTCCTCCTGATGGCACAATGAACCATGAATCAGTTCTTCCGTTTGTTGGGTCTTTTTTTTTTAAGACAGCCCGTGGGACTGTTTTAAAAAAAGCTGAGCCCCCTGCCCCCAAAGCCCACTCTCAATTCCTTCTCACTTCTGCTTACCTTCTCCTGCTGCCTCCTCCTGCTCTGCTCCTGCCTTTGCTGAAACAGAAGCTAGACTGCCGGAACCGCGTTTTCTGTTACGGCAGCCTAGCTTTTGCAAAGACTAGTGGGGAGGGCTTCCCTTTGGGCAAGCCTGACTGAAGCGATTCCCCCCTCCTGCTGCCTTTGTAAAGACAGCAGGGTGAGGGATTACTTCCCCTGTATTTCAACCCAGCTTTAGTTAGTTTATGATAAACCAGTAGACTGCAATTCCCAGAAAGCCCAGCCAGCACAACTGGTGGTGAAGGCTTCTGGAAATTGCAGCCTAAGAACACCTGGGCTACCCAGGGATAGAAACTACTGTGATAAACCAACTAATAGTGAATAACATAACAAGTATGACTGATCTCTTTTCTGACTATTTTGCCTTAATGTTATGCAAATTGTCAGTCTCTCTCATTTTGCTTACATAGTGGGGTATATGCAGTTTTACTGGTTACCCACTGATATTTTTTTTAAGTTGCAACACATCACAGCCCTTTATAAACTCTCTTCATGTTTAAGGACTTGCCAAGATGTGTGGAATGGCTCCCAAAAAACGAGTGCCATGTGGGTATTCTGGCATCTCTGCTGATGATTGCTTGAGGAGAGGATGCTGCTATGAACATTACCAGTACGCCAAAAATGTTCCGTGGTGCTTTGAACCTTCAGCACAGAAAGGCAATTTTTCACTGTGAAAAACCAATCAGGAAAAATGTTGGACTAACTGAGGAAGATGCTTTGCAGAATGAAGGGCGACGTTTTTTCCTCCTGATGTCTTTTCCTCCAGGTGTTCTGATTCTCATATGTTTAATCAGCATGATTGATTGATGCTCATCTACTGTGTATTCAATTAAATTATCTGGCATTTTAACATTCTTTAATTGTCCGACTTCACTTCACATTTCTTCTGTAAGAACAACTTTTGCCTCAGACCTAGTCATAGCAAGAGACTGGCTGGACATTTGAAGCATATTTTCACACAGCTAAAATAAGTCCAGCATCAGTGACTAGCCTTAAAGGTGAGATCCTGCATCTGTGCAGTTAGAATGTGGAGCAAGTTAATCTATGACGGATTTAGTGTGTTTCAGCCAATTTCCTGATCAATATATTGACATGCGTGGAGCTCCAGATGTAGATCTATATTCAACTCTCCATTGTACTATCATATTCCTTCAATGACTTTGGGCCATTCTCTTTCTCTTAACATAACCTGCCTCGCGGGGTTGTTGTGCAAATAAGATGAGGAGAAAGAAAGTCATTTATCCTGCCTTCAACATACCTAAAAAAGGTGGAGTATTAAAGTACCGTATTTTTCTGTATATACAAGCCCCCAATGAATACGACGACCACCTAATTTTGTCCCTTGGAGGTGCAGTCAATGGGCAGCCATGAGGGGCAGCTCCGCCTCCGTCTCCTGCTGCTGCTGTCTCCATCGCCCGATCATGTCGCTGCGTTGTCCCCTCTTGGAAAGGAGCCCGCGAGTGGCGCTGGAGGAGGCAATCTGGCGGCGGAGGCAGCAACAGCAGCAGCAGGAGGCAGAGACAGAGGCAAAGGAGCAGCTTTACTCGGCCGCCTCTCGTGGCTGCCCCTTTACTGCTGCCGCCACCATCCAGTCGCCTCCTCCTCCTGCCAGGGCTCACCTCCAGATCACATCACCGCCTTGTCCCCTGCCTGCGAGTGGCACTGGAGGAGGCCATCTGGCAGCAGCAGTCAATGGGCAGCCGGGCGTAGCTGCTCCTTTGCCTCCGCCTCCTTCCATGTATAAAACGACCCTCAATTTTTCCTCTAATGATTTTAGGGAAAAGTGTTGTTTTATACACGGAAAAATACAATAACTAATACTGCACATTTTACGTTGTTAAAATGTGGATTGAAGTTTAGTAGGATGCAAATATGAAGCAGCAAGCTGACTTTAGAGAATGAATGATGATCTTCTTGGGAGTGGTAAAGGAAAGCACAATGGATGAGGCTAAATGTCCAGGAACCAGATTTCAGTTCTGTACCCTTATTAAAGTTCAAAAAATCGAGTGTAGAGGTGTTGCCCTAAAAATGAAAAGTTCTTTTAAAAGATGCTCAGAGAGATGTCTTAAAAGTGAAAGTACAATCGGAAAAGTACTCTGTGAAGATAGTTTATATTACAAAACTAAAATACTTATACGTTTTCGGAACACAGAACTGATAAGATAACAAGGCAGAAGTAGCTCATTCAGTTTCGTGCCAGTTTTTGTGAGAAAAAAATAAATAATAGACACTGTAAACACCCGAACCCTTACACTATGCAAAACAGAAGGAACAGTTTAAAAAAGGAGTGCTGCTTGTGTTGTGTTTCACCTATATTTTTAATTAACAAAGAGATATAAAAAGATGTAGAAACCTGCGTTAAATGAGATTAATAATTTATTGTGCAATAGAAGGTTTTACAGAATAGTGTAAAAGGAGAAAAGGATGAATGTCATTTTAAACAGTTTGTTAAATAATAAGCAAGAAGAGAAGGGAAACCGTGGTGTCATTTGTTTTATAAGGCTTTAGCCCCATAATTAATAACAACTGAGTTTTAAAAAGAGTATAACTTATATATTCTGTAGTACCAACAAAACAACATGCAGTTGTATTGTCAGTGAATTATGTCATTCAAGCCAGCACTAGCTCAAGGAAGAGGGGATTTTACTCTGACCCTGATGGCCAGGACCTGGGTAGGCCAGGCTTTGGAGATGCAAGAAGCTGAAGTGTCGGGGGCAAGCCCTGTGATAAGCGGATCTTGAGACCCTTAACATTTGAGCCTCCCATTATTTATTTATTTATTTATTTATTTATTTATTTATTTATTTATTTATTTATTTATTTATTTATAACCTGGCTTTCTCCTTAAAATGGACCCAAAATGGCTGACAACAATTACAAGACAGCATTTAAGATTAGTAACAATGAGTATACAATACTAAAAGGATTACTGAATACAATACCAAAGAACATAAGCAACACCAAAACACATTCAATGCAACAAGAT